GCACATGAAAAGGTCATTTCACGGGATGGTCCTGATCCTGTTTGTAATTGTGTCCACTCTGTATACAGCATAACAAAGTAAAAAAGCACATTTATTACAGATAATAGAGACGGCAGACCAAAGTAAAAGAGGTCATAGGGTCATTCTCAATAAAAAAAGTATCAATCCAACCTCTACCTCAATGTAGAACTCCATTGACTTCCTTAATACCAGGTTAGGTGTACCAACTACTCAGGGCTGGATCTAGGGAGCTGTTGGGGTGGGCTGCTGTGCCCCTCCAGATTTTAGTTGTACTCCCTCCCCCAGGAATCCGAGTGCATCCATTGATCCATAAGCCAGTCTGATACAGAGATTTAATATTTTAACAATCCATGTAAGGGGGCACTCTGATGTGAACAATTGATTCTAAGTGGACTCTGATGGGGACACTGATGTAAGGGGGCACTCTGATGGGGACACCTGATGTAAGGGGGCACTCTGATGGGGACAATTGATTCTAAGTGGACTCTGATGGGGACACCTGATGTAAGGGAGCACTCTGATGGGGACACCTGATGTAAGGGGGCACTCTGATGGGGACAATTGATTCTATGAGGACCTGATGGGGACAGTGATGTAAGGGGGTGCTCTGATGGGGACACCTGATATAAGGGGGCGCTCTGATGGGGACACCTGATGTAAGGGGGCACTCTGATGGGGACAATTGATTCTAGGAGGACCTGATGGGGACAGTGATGTAAGGGGGCGCTCTGATGGGGACACCTGATGTAAGGGGGCACTCTGATGGGGCCAATTGATTCTAGGAAGACCCTGATGGGAACACTGATATAAGGGGGTACTATGATGGGGACAATTGATTCTAGGAGGACTCTGTTGGGGACTCTGATATAAGGGGGCACTCTGATGGGGACACCTGATGTAAGGGGGCACTCTGACGGGAACAATTGATTCTAGGAGGATCCTGATGGGGACATTCATATAAGGGGGCTCTCTGATGGGGGACACCTGATGTAAAGGGGCACTCTGATAGGGACCCTGATATAAGGGGGCTCTCTGATGGGGACACTGATATAAGGGGGCTCTCTGATGGGGACACCTGAAGTAAGGGGGCTCTCTGATGGGGACACCTGATGTAAGGGGGCACTCTGACAGGGATCCTGATATAAGGGGGCACTCTGATGGGGACCCTGATGAAAGGGGGCACTCTGATGGGAACCTGATGTAAAGGGGGAATCTGATGAGTACTCATAATGTAAACAGGGTCTCTGATGAGGAACCCTGATATAAACGGTGTCTCTGATAGGGACATCTGAAATAAGGAGGCACAGGTTCTGTGTAATTAAACAGCTTAATACATACTAGTGTTTCCCAGGTCATGACACTGTGTGACAAACTGTCAGGACTCACACACAGTGTTGCAATTATGCCCCCTGACTTTGTTTTGCTGCACCCCCAGATCAGATAGGCCAAATCCCCCCCGGCTAGTCTGGGGATGTAATGGCGGCGTTCGGTATTGGCGCTCTTGAATCCCTGCTCTTTGCCCCCCCCCCCTTTTTTTTTCTCTCTTTTCTTTTTTCTCTTTCTGTTTTTGGTGTGACTGGACAGCTGCATTTAGTTGTTATAATCAGTTACATTAATGTTTTGTAACTTATGTGCCATTGATAGCCCCTGCGTGGGCGTACCTTTTGCCTTGTTGGCATTAGAGCATTGTTTTTCCCTTTTTTTTTTAAATTTTATTTTGCATTTTGTTTATCTGTGCAATTGATAGCCCCTGCGTGGGCGTGTTTTATTGTCTCTGTTTATACTGTTTAAAAAATTTAATAAAAACCTTTGAAATAGATAAGCCAAATCCGGCCCTGCTACTACCTGTTTATATATGTGACCTGCAGCACAACACCCTGCATTCCCAATAGTCTTCAGCCTCTGGGTTGACTGATGCCCAGGACATCTTGTAGCCAAACAGTGATACTAGAGGGGAGAACTAGCCTGGAGTTGGCCTTAGAAATTTGAAAAATTTTATATAGCTATAAATGATAAAATATGTGGAACAGATTAATCCATACTGCACCTCAACTCATGCGGACATGTGCACATATGTCCGTGTGAATCTGAGATGTGTACTATCTACAAAGATATTCCATTACAATCTTGCCAGGAAAAAAAAAGTAAGAGCATACCGAAAGCCACTTAGTGTCTTGTATTACAGAAAGGCTTCAGCACCATCTCCTCCTGAACCATGCCAGCTAACGCATTTCACCCATCATGGGCTTAATCATAAAGGCACCCATGCTGGGTGAAATGCGTTAGGGCATATTTTGGGAGGAGATGAAGCTCAAGCCTTCCACGTGATACTTGAAAATAAGCGGCTTTCGGTGTGTGCTCCCTTTTTTTCCTTGTAAGCTTCTGACAGTTGGACAAGATGAGCCATGTGGGAGCTGCACCCGATAGGGATTGAATAAAGGGGAGATTGAATCAGAGGAGCCTGGAGTAGCAGGGCTGTGGATAAGGGAGTACCACCTTTTCTGCTGTACGGGGCCCAGGCCAGCAGGGGGGGGGCCCAGGCAGCTAGGTGAATCAGATATGCACAGGGAGGGTGCTCAGCACAGTGTGGGGGACAATTACTGGAACCGATCCCCTGTATGGCTCTCTCTGCAGCAGCTGAAAGCTGGCTTCATCTCCTCTCCATACAGGGGATCAGTTCCAATAATTGCCCCCCGCCGACTTCATGACTATCCCTACTGGCTTTTCTTCCAGCAGCTGCAAGCACACAATCAGGGGCGGACTGACAACTCATGGGGCCCCTGGGCAATAGGGGACCATGGGGTCCCTGTGTCCTTGCTCAAACTCAAAAAAGCCTACGAAAAAGGTACCAGGGGCATCTCATGGGGCCCCGTACTGACCCCGGGCCCTCGGGCATTGCCCGAGTTTCCAAATGGTCAGTCCACCCCTGCACACAATAGGATGGAGTGTGGTGGAAGACTCCAGTAAATATGTCACATTTACCAGCCCCTTCCTTTCCTGAATGAAAACAATGAGTGACAGGAATTGATAGCTCATTGTGTTCATTCATAACTGAAGCATAGCAAACTATGCTTATTTGGGGGTTGGGGGGGCCCTTTCAGGTTGACTGTATGGGGCCCCGTGGTTTCTAACAGCAGCCCTGTAGAGTAGTGCTATATGTTTGATTGGGATTCACTCAGAATTACTGAATGCTGAGATCATTCTGCGCCTGTGCCTCTGATACTGTCTAGTGAATGCTTAATTCAGGGCTGGGGGGAGATGTAAACATCAACAAGGTGTAGGCAACAGGGGTGGATTGACAACTCATGGGGCCCCCGGGCAATAGGGGATCATGGGGCCCCTGTGTCCTTGCCCAAACTCAAAAAAGCCTATGAAAAAGGTACCAGGGGCATCTTATGGGGCTCCCTACTGACCCCGGGCCCTCGGGCAATGCCCGAGTTTCCAAATGGTCAGTCCGCCCCTGGTAGGCAATGGTGGTCCCATAGAATGAGCCATTGGGAATGGCTAAAATCCGAAGACATTCTATGCTTGTGCTACTGCCTAGTGTAGTTAGCCATTGAGAATGAGTAAAGGCTGAGGTCATTCTGAGCCTGTGCCGTCACCGCTGCCTGCACATTGTTTATGTTTACATCTCCTCCATGGTCCTGAATGACTAGGCAGTGGCAGCAACCCACATGGCTATGTCCATTTACATTTTTATGCATATAAACACTCACACAAATGTTTACTTGCATACCCTGTAAAATACCATCAAAGGCACACCGTGGGCGTAAAATCATCTAGTTTAGTTTTCCGCAGCTTAACACTACAGGAAATATGGACCAAAAACAGCTGTGTGAATGGGCCCATGGCATGCAATACTGGTGCATTCAGATCTATATAAAACTATATAGATCTGAACGCAGCATTTTATATGCCCATTTTATATGCCCGTGTGAATGAGCCCTTACACAGCTAACAAGCCATTAGTGATCCATGAACCAGAGCATTGTGTCTGACACTTCAATCTGAAGCTAGTAACATGGACATGTTCCCCGTGAAATTTGACTTCATTCCCTTCACCTATGAAAATGTTTATTTTTGCTCACGTGTGGCTTGCAAAAAAATTTTATAAGAAGAGTGTGACTTACAAAAATAATTATAAGAAGAATCTCTCCATTGTCTTCCAGTTCTCAGCCCTATGAAATCAGAATTCCTGTCACCCAATGAGCCTCCATGAAAGAACATGACAGTCTAGATACGGGAAGGCACATCAAAATACATAGTATATGAATGAGACCCTGATATTACACAATTACTTCTGGATCTGCCAAACCAAAATATTTCCAATTTATTCTCAGGAACAAAGATCATCATTCAGGAGTTAGATTTTACGGTAAGTTCACATCTAGTCTGTGTTGGGTGTCCCATAAACAGGTGACCACAAGAAAAGGAAGAAAAGCATATTTCTTTCTAAAATACATTGGATTATAATGAATCACTTTGAGAATCAGACAAAGAATTCACGTGTCCTGAACTGGGAGTTAGTCCAACGTTTTCTTTTATAGTCTCATTACAGGATCTGTAAAAATATATTTATGTTGCTTGGTTAATAATGCCTAAACCCAAGAAGAAAAATGGAATATACTGCAGCTTAAAAACCCTTAGATGTGGTGGCTGCTGGGGTGGACTGACCATTTGGAAACTCGGGCACTGCCCAGGGTCAGTAGGGGGCCCCATGAGATGCCCCTGGTACCTTTTTCATAGGCTTTTTTTGAGTTTGGGCAAGGACACAGGGGCCCCATGATCCCCTATTGCCCAGGGGCCCCATGAGTTGTCAGTCCGCTCCTGGGTGGCTGCAATCGTTTTCTCTCTTGTAGGCTTTTTTCACTTCCCCAGATGATTCCACCAGTAACACATTTCCTGTCCTAAGGTGACAACACTTACTCACCATCTCCATTACGTAGAAAGGGAGTCGCTTTGCAGTCCACCTAATTTAGTTGAAAAAGCCAGGGGCGGACTGGCAACTCATGGGGCCCCCGGGCAATAGGGGATCATGTGGCCCCTGTGTCCTCACCCACACTTAAACCACACCCAAAAAAGCCTATGAAGGGTACCAGGGGCTTCTCATGGGTCCCCCTACTGACCCCAGGCCCTCGGGCTGTCAAGAGTGCTGGAATGGTCAGTCCGCCCCTGGAAAAAGCTAACAATATTGTTTGAGATTTTAGTTAAAGATGAATTCCAGGTATGGATATATAACTATGCACTGTTTATGCCATACTAGGCTGATGCCCCTAAATGCTGGAAACCACTGAAGTAAACACAACTACTACAGTGATCTTCACTTCCTTCCAGTTCCTGTGTTGATTGACTGGATTACCACATTCTGAACATAAGAGGTCATCCGCTTAACATGGCTGTCATTCACTGAAAGCTTGAATTTCCTGAATGCATGCAAAGCATTCTCTAATTGGATGAGGTGGAGAGTCGGGGTGGTGACATCACATTCTCTACCTCGTCCAGTCAGAAAACACTGGGGAGAACAATGGGGTCCTAAGGGTTCTTCATTGTGGGAAAGAAACCAAATTATATGCCCACTGCGTAAAGTTGGGGTCAGGAGCATTTCCCTGGTGTTGAAGATTCCAAAGGGCCCAGTGCCTTCTAATTTGAGTGGTGCTACCTGGTCTGGCATAGGCCTGAAAAGGTAGAGGGCCTGAGGTGTCAAGTTAGAGTGGTGACCTGGGGGTGTCAGAGTAAATCTATGGGTTTGAGACCTCGCTCTGTGAAAAAGCAAGGCTTTTTTCTGCACCTAACCTTATGGGCTAGACCTTTTGGCCAAGACTGGGGCATTTTTTCATTACCAAGCCACAAGGCCTAGCCATTGTGCAGCACGTTGGCACTTATTTATTTTTTCTTTCCATGTATGTCACGTCACCTTTTTCATGTAGGTACTGTGTAGGTCATCGGGCCAGTCCTAAAGTCTACGGGGAAAATGCATGACCATCCTTCCTTCCCTGCCTGTGGGTTTCTCTTCAGGACAGCAGATAACCTTGTACTGGGTGGTTGACCTCCACTGGCCATGAGGAGAGGAGTCCACCAGGCCTCCTGGCTAGGTGGACCAGAGTATCTTGACCCCGTCAGGAATCTTGCACCCCAGGGGATCAGGGAGATCCTTCCTTTTTGGGAGCGGACCAATGAAGGACCCTGTGTGTGTTCACATGCACTTTATTGGTTCACTTAGTGTTTAGTTTTTGTACGCCCTACAGCAGACTTTGAGCTGCCCAGTAGAAAGGATTGTGAGACAAGAGTGGGTAGGAGCAAAGCTACAGTAGACTACCATTTGGCCAGGGTAACCTCTGCTTATGGATGTTTTCATCTACGCTCAGTTTGAACCCAACTACACTTACAATTTTGTAGAGAGAGTTTAATTATATTTTAGTTACTTTATTTCAACCCAAGGATAGTCAATCACTTTTTGATTTTTTCAGTTTTTTTCAATCTAAGTTGGATTTGAAAATTTCAGTCACACATCTAAAAAATAATTTTGCTTGGGAAAAAGATTTGCTAATTTAGCCACTTGTCTTATTAGCACACTTTTCATTCATCAGCTTCAAAGGTTGCTTTATTATCACTGAGAGGATTTCAGATTTTCATACAATATATCCCATTTGGGTATGAATGGACCCTGCCATAAACTAACCAGATAACATAAACAGCCTGAGGTTTGTTTATGTTATCTGGGTTCATCAGGTTTCTTTTAAGCCCAAGGGCATAGTTTGCTTCTGCCTGCTTCTGTTCTCCAGTAGATAGCATGAGTGCCAATGCCAGTGATGTGGGTTTTGTAGGACATACAGTCTATTTGGAGAGACCTTCTATGAGAGTCCTTACCCTCCTAGGCTTTCCCTCAGAGGATGTAGTGCTGGAAGGGTCTTTTCCTACCAGGCTTTTCCCAGAGAAGATATAAATCCACAGGTTCTTGTCTCTCAGACTTTGCCTGGTGAGGATATGTGTTGAGCAGAGTCCAGTCTTTGCATCTCAGGCTTTGCCAGGAAAGTATGTGAGTTCAGAGGTTTTTACCTTCCCAGCCTACTGTCTTTTGGAGGATGTTACTGAGACAGGTCTGGTCTTTTGCCTCCAAGGTTCCAATGCATGAGGGAGGAGGGCAGATCCAAAAATGAAAGTTATATTTTCCCTAGCTACACGTCTGGGCCTAGGGTGTCCTAAACTGTGAGAGAGGTGTAAGGAGCTGGCCTGTGGCAAAAGCGGAAGTCGCTGAAAGGTAACTTAGGCCACCAAAGTATTCATTAGCCTTTGGAAGGGACATAAAGAGCTCTACATTTACATGTGGCAGAGGATAGAGATACCAGAATATACTACTAAGGAGAGGGATTTTTGCTGTTGTTTCTGGGTATCCTGTACCCCCAATCCTCTGAAACAAAAAAAAAAAAAAAATTGAGGGACCACCCCGAGAATAAATATGGTAACCAGGTAAGATAATCAGGACTTACCATAGTCCTTTGTCCACTGGCTCACCAATAAAAATTGGTGTGATCCTTGTAACCTATACCAACCACATTTAAAAAATGGGCTTGGAAGAGACCTGAAAGGGCAGTTACCAATAACAAGGACTGGTCCTAATTAGAAACTGCCCTTTCAGGTTTTTTTCAGCCCGTTTTTTGGATGTACTCCTAACCATCTCGCTCAAAGAGAACTAACCAATAAATTTGCCAAAAGATTGATGTTAAAATCTGTCTGATTATTGCTCCTGTAGGGTCGTTAGTGTCTGGGTCCAATTACAGGACCAGTGACTATTAGAAAACGCAGGAGAGCCCAATAAACTCCAGCATTTTCTTTCAGGGTCATTGTTACAAAGGGGTTTCTTCACCTACACAGGAGGTACAGGTGTTCTGTGCACCAGTCCTGTGTACTCGGGGATGCGCTTGGAGATCCATGTAGATCTGCGCAGCATCCACCTTTCATTGATTTGAAAATTTCCGTGCAGCTGCATGGAACACCCATGCCTCCTGTATAAAGATGGCCCTTTGCATGGATTTATGGAACAGTACGGCTAAGTGAATGAGGACTAAATTGTAAAGTAGCCTACAAAAATACTTCTAAGAAAACAATGTTTATTATCTTGCTGCTACAGGCCATGGGTTTACAGAGATAATTATTAAGTGAAGATTACCTGGAAAAAGAAAAACTAAACATGAATAGTATGAAGAGCTGACACAACCAATAGACGTACCCAAGGCCACTTCACTGTATTGTTTCTGCTGTCTTTCAGAAAGATGCGCCCATTGAGCACTTGAGTTGTGTTCATCTCACGGCAAAAAGGACTATAGGGTGATCGGGGTCAGAATGTGCTTATCTGTGAGGATATTCATTCATTAAATGGAATTAAATTAAAGTTTACTGTTCATATTAAATGTTATAAAAACTCTGCTTTCAACTTTATTTTCCACAGTCTGTTTCCTCTAGGTTCTACAATCAATTTAATGTAAGATTTTGTGGTTCTAGAATTGTAATATCTTGAGTTTCTGTAATTATTTTATTGTAGGATCTAGAGGTTCCAGAAATGTTTTGTCGTAAGATCTGCATTTTTTATTCTAAAATTGTGAGGTTCTAGAACTATGTTAATGTAAGTTCTTGAGGTTCTCCAATTATTTTTTTGTAAATGCTTGAGGTTCTCCAATTATCCTGTTGTAAGGTTTTGCAGTTCTCCAATTATTTTATTGAAAGATATTGAGGTTCTCCAATTATTTTCTTTTAAGTACTTGAGGTTCCCAATTATGTTATTGTAAGATTAGGAGGTTCTCCAATTATTTTATTGTAAGATTTTGAGGTTCTCCAATTATTTTATTGTAAGATTTTGAGGTTCTCCAATTATTTTATTGTAAGATTAGGAGGTTCTCCAATTATTTTTTATTGTAAGATTAGGAGGTTCCCAATTATGTTATTGTAAGATTAGGAGGTTTGACAATTATTTGGTTGTAAGGTCTTGATGATCTACAATCATTTATTGTAATATTTTGAGGTTCTGCAATTATTTTATTGTAATATTTTGAGGTTCTCCAATTATTTTATTGTAAGATTAGGAGGTTCTCCAATTATTTTATTGTAAGATTAGGAGGTTCCCAATTATGTTATTGTAAGATTAGGAGGTTTGACAATTATTTTATTGTAAGATTAGGAGGTTTGACAATTATTTTATTGTAGGATTAGGAGGTTTGACAATTATTTTGTTGTAAGGTCTTGATGATCTACAATCATTTATTGTAATATTTTGAGGTTCTGCAATTATTTTATTGTAATATTTTGAGGTTCTCCAATTATTTTATTGTAAGATTTGAAGGTTCAACAGTTATTTTGTTGTAAGGTCTTGAGGTTCTACAATTATTTTATTGTAATATTTTGAGGTTCTGTAATTATTTTTTGTAAGATCTATTGTAGGATCCTTATTGCAAATTGAGTTTTTAGAATTATTTCCCCATTTTTTCCTCCTGCACAAATTCCACCCCCCCCCCCCCCATTCTTCTCTGTGCACAAATCTCTCCCCCCCCCCCCGTTCTCTTCTCTGCACAAATACCCCCTTCCTTCCCAGTCCTCCCCTCTGCACAAACATCCCCCAGTTCTCCTGTTTGCCCTCCCCCATGTTTCCAGTTCTTCCCACTGCACAAATCCCCCCCCCCCCCCAGTTCTTATTTCTGCACAAATCCCCCAGTTACTCTCTCTACACAAGTCCCCCACAACTATTTTTTCTCTGTGCACAAATCCCCCCCCCCCTTTCTTCTCTGCACATATCTCCCCCTCTTCTTCCCTCTGCACAAATTCCACCTCCCAGTTCTCACTCTCTGCACAAATCCCCCCGTCCTTTCCAGTGTCCTCCCCTCTTCACAAATTCCCCCACATTCCCAGCTCTCCTCTCTGTACATATTTATTGTCCCCAAAGCTGTCCCCAACCTCCCCCCCCCTCTTCTTTCACAGCTCCCTGACCTCTTCAGGAAAGCCGGCACCACTTTGTATGGTATGCACCGGCTTTTTTCCCTAATCTCAGCCCGGTACGGTGTGATCGGAGAGCTCCGCCTATCAGAACTGTAGCAGAGATCTGAGCTCTTTGCTCGGCTTCCCAAACGCCTGTCTGACGCCTGCTCACAAAGCTGGTGTGAACGGAGCCAAAC